CAACGGGCTAATATCCAGAATCTACAAAGAACTAAAACACATTTACAAGTAAAAAGCAAACAAACCCATTCAAAAGTGGGAAAAGGATATGAACAGACACTTTGCAAAAGAAGACATATATGAGGCCAACAAACATATGAAAAAATGCTCATCATCACTGGTCATTAGAGAAATGCAAATTAAAACTACATTGAGATACCATCTCATGCCAGTTAGAATGGTGTTCCTTAAAAAATCTGGAGACAACAAATGCTGGAAATGATGTGGAGAAATAGGAACATTTTTACACTGTTGGAGAGAGTGTAAATTTGTTCAACCATTGTGGAATACAGTGTGGCGATTCCTCAAGGACCTAGAAATAGAAATTCCATTTGACCCAGCAATCCCATTACTGAGTATATACTCAAAGGATTAAAAATTGTTTTATTATAAAGACACATGCACACATATGTTCATTGCAGCACTGTTTACAATAGCAAACACCTGGAACCAAACCAAATGCCCATCGATGATAGACTGGAGGAGGAAAATGTGGCACATATACACCATGGAATATTATGCAGTCATAAAAAAATGATGAGTTTGTGTCATTTGTAGGGACATGGATGAACCTGGAAATCATCATTCTTAGCAAACTGACATAGGAACAGAAAATCAAATACTGCATGCTCTCACTCATAGGTGGGTGCTGAACAATGAGAACACATGGAAACAGGGAGGGGAGAATCATACACTGGGGTCTGTCGGGGGGAAATACGGGAGGGACAGCGGAGGGTGGGGAGTTGGGGAGAGATAGCATGGAAAGAAATGCCAGATATAGGTGACAGGGAAATGGAGTCAGCAAACCACATTGCCATGTATGTACCTATGCAACAATCCTGTATGTTCTGCACATGTACCCCAGAACCTAAAGTGCAATAAAATATATGTATAAAAAAATAAATATAAATAAATAAGAATGGTGCCCAATATTCAATATTCTTAAAGAATTTTCAACACCGAATTTTATATTCAGCCAAACTAAGTTTCATAAGTAAAGGAGAAATAAAATCCTTTACAGATAAGTAACTGGTGAGAGATTCTGTGCCACCAAGTCTGTGTTACAAGTGCTCCTGAAGGAAACACTAAATATGGAAAAGAAGACTGGTACCAGCCACTGCAAAGCCACACCGAAATATAAAGACCAGTGACACTGTGAAGAAACTGCATCAACTAATGTAGAAAATAATCAGCTAGCATCATGATGACAGGATCAAATACACACATAACAATATTAATCTTAAATGTATATGGGCTGAATACCTCAATTAAAAGACTCAGACTGGTAAGTTAAAAAAAGAGTCAAGACCCACTAGTATGCTGTATTCACTAGACTCATCTCACGTGCAAAGACACACATAAGCTCAAAATAAAGGAATGGAGGAACATTTCCAAAGCAAATGGAAAGAAAAAAAAAGCAGACGTTGTAAAACAGTATTTAAACCAAAAAAGATCAAAAAAGGGGATTACATAATGCTAAAGTGATCAAAGTATCAATACAGTGAACTGGCAACCAACAGAATGGGAAAAAAGTTTTGCAATCTACCCATCTGACAAAGGGTTGATATTCAGAATCTATGGAGAACTTACACAAATGTACAAGAAAATAAACAAACCACCCAATAAAAAAGTGGGTGAAGAATATGAACAGATACTTTTCAATAGAAGACATTTATGCAGCCAACAAACATATGAAAAAAAATATCTTTATCACTGGTTATTAGAGAAATGCAAATCAAAACTACATTGAGATACCACCTCACACCAGTTAGAATGGCAATCATGAAAAAAAATCAGGAAACAACAGATGCTGGAGAGGATGTGGAGAAATAGGTACACTTTTACACTGTTGGTGGGAGTGTAAATTAATTTTACCATTGTGGAAGACAGCGTGGCAATTCCTTAAGCATCTAGAACTAGAAATACCATTTGACCCAGCAATCCCATTAATGGGTATATACCCAAAGGATTATAAATCATTCTATTATAAAGATGCATGCACTTGTATGTTTATTACAGCACTGTTCACAATAGCAAAGACTTGGAACCAATCCAAATACCCATCAGTGATGGACTGGATAAAGAAAATGTGGCACATATGTACTGTGGAATACTATGCAGCCATAAAAATGGATGAGTTTGTGTGCTTTGCAGAAACATGGATGAAACTGGTAACCATCATTCTCAGCAAACTGACACAAGAACAGAAAACCAAACACCACATATTCTCACTCATAAGAGGTGTTGAACAATGAGAACACATGGACACAGGGAGGGGAACATCACACACCGCTGCCTGGGTGGTGGGGGGCTAGGAGAGGAATAGTAGGAGGTGGAGGGAGTGAGGCGGGATAGCATCAGGAAAAATACTTAATGTAGATGATGGGGTGATGGATGCAGCAAACCACCACCATGGCATGTGTATACCTATATAAAAAACCTGCACAATCTGCACATGTACCCCACAACTTAAAGTATAATAAATAATTTTTTAATTCATAAGAAAAAAACAACCCCATCAAAAAGTGGGCAAAGGATATGAATAGACACTTCTCAAAAGAAGACATTTATGCAACCAACAAAAATGTGAAAAAAGCTAATCATCTCTAGTCATTAGAAAAATGCAAATCAAAACTACAATGAGACACCATCACACACCAGTTAGAATGGAGATGATTAAAAGTCTGGAAACAACAGATGCTGGAGAGGATGCAGAGAAATAGGGATGCTTTTACACTATTGGTGTTAGTGTAGATTATCTCAACCGTTTTGTTAGATAGTGAGATGATCCCTCAAGGACCTAGAAGCAGAAATATCACTTGACCCACTAATCCCATTACTGCACATATACCCAAAGAATTATAAATCATTCTACTCTAAAGACACATGCACAGATGTATTTATTGCATATATAGCTCATATACACCATAAAATACTATGAAGCCATGAAAAGAATGAGTTCATGTCCTTTGCAGAGATATGGATGAAGCTGGAAACCATTATTCTCAGCAAACTTACACAGGAACAGTAAACCAAACACCGCATGTTCTCGCTTATAAGTGAGAGTTGAACAATAAGAACAGATAGACAAAGGGAGGGGACATCACACACTGGGGCTTGTCAGGGGGTTTGGGGCAATGGAAGGGAGATCATCAGGACAAATACCTAATGCATGCAGGGCTTAAAACCTGGATAATGGGTTGATAGGTGCAGCAAACCACCATGGCATATGTATACTTACGTAACAAACCTGCATGTTAAGCACATGTATTCCAGAACTTAAAGTAAAATAAAATTAAACATTTAAAGAAAGCAGGGATGTTGAATTTTACAACATCAATTACAGGATACAGTCCAGCCATTTCCATGGAGCAACTACCTTGTTCTCTCCTAGCCCCATAGCTAGAGTCCAGTTTCTCCAGGCCCGGCAGACCAGCAACCATTGCTTTCCATTCTATTGGGCCCTATATACTTGCCTCAAAGCATCAGTCACCAAGAGACCTGGCATCCTTGGAAGAGCATGGTAATGAGGCACCACCTGAGGAGAAGCCACTCTGTGATGCAAGCTTCCATGAATTATCGCAGTATAATTCAACATAATTTGCATAACCACACCATTGTCATAAATCAAAATCTGCCCAAAAAAGAGAGATATTAGTTTTCTCAAAATCAAAGAACCTCTTAAAAACGACACAGCTGCTGAATAATCAACTTGTGAAACTGAGCTGTTTTTAGAATGGAACAATAAATGCGCCTGTAATAGCTTAAATGTTTTATAACTTAGAAAATTATATTTGTCTTCATCTTTTTTACACACAGTATATTAAACAAAAAAATAAATAAGGTATAGATTTTATAACCTTTTTATGTTGAAAAAGCCATGAAGTAGGTAGACAAGATAGATATTCTGTTAATTGGAGGGGGATATAGGACACGTCTGAAAAGGTACAAAGTCCTAGGATGAGCTTAGAAAATTCACTGTATCAATAAATCTTACTTTTACCCCTGTTTTCTTCTAAGAGTTTTATGGTTTTCACTCACATATAAGTCATGGAACCATTTAAGTTATTTTTGTTTATGGTGTGAAGTAGGGGGTCAAACTTTTCCATGTTCTTATGCAGTTGTCCTAACAGTATTTGTTAAAGCAATTGTTTTTACCCTTCAAATAGTCTTGGCACCTGTGTCAAACATCAATTGACTATGGATTTATGAGTTTATCCCTGCACTCCCAATTCTGTTACATTGGTCAATATGCTTAATTTTATAAGGTATCATACTGATATGACTATTGCAACTTTATAGTAAAGTTTGAATTCAGGAAGTGTGAGTCATCCAAATTTTTTCTTACTTTTTAAAGTGTGTGTGTGTGTGTGTGTGTGTGTGTGTGTGTGTGTGTGTGTGTCTATTCAAGGCCCCTTGTGATTCCATATGAACTTGACGTTCAGCTTTTCCACATTGCAGAAAGCATCATTGGAAATTTGGTAAACATTCCACTGAATCTGAAGATCACTTTAGGTGGGTATTGTTACCATCTTAACAGCATTAATTCTTCCATTTTATGAACATAGTATGTCCTTTCATTTATTTTGGTCTTCTTTAATTACCAGTTTTTAGTTTACAAGTCTTTTACCTCCTTGGTTACATTTATTTCTAGGTATTTTATTCATTTTTGGGTGCTATTGTAAATTGAATTATTTTATTCATTTCTTTTTCAGATGTTTATTGCTGGTGTGTAACCCTTTTATTATGCCATTGGATTTGATTTTCTAGAATTTTGTTGAGGGATTTTTCATCCATAGAAACAAGGAATATTGGTGTTTACTTTTCTTGTGATGTTGTGAGCAAGCTTTGGAATCAGGATAATACTGGCCTCATAGAATACATTGTGAAGTGTTTACTCTTCTTCTGTTTTAGAGGGAATGGTTTGAGAAGTATTGGTATTAATTCTTCTTTGAATTTTTGTTACATCTCCCCAGTGAAGTCATCTGGTTCTGAGCTTTTCTTTGCTGAAAGTGTTCTATGATTTTCTATTAGGTTTATAATTAGTGTATACTGTTGCTCAAGTTCTCTATTGCCTTCTTGATTTTTTTCTAATTTGTATGTTTGTTATAGAGTGTAGAATATAGAACTATCTATTTCTAATGATTCTGTAAAGATAAAGTAGGAAGAAGATGTATTGTAGCTTATGACACACAGAAATATTAGGGGATTTCGTGTGGTTTCTTTGTTGGTCGTTCCTCTGTAAGTGAGAAAAACTGCTCATGTTAATACATTTTGGATGTCTGTCTTACAGGAAGCTCCACAAGGAGTTTGGCCTTCAGAGAGTTTTGTACATATCCAGATTCTCTGCCTTAGCTTCTTTTTTCACTTTAAATAAAGAAGAATGACATAGAGATGGACTCAGATAGATCTAAATTGAAATCTGGGACCTGCCACTAGTTAGCTAGTGGTGTGATCTTCAGCAATATAGTAGGTGTATATACTTATGGAGTACATAAGCAAGTTGTTGACAAAAAGAGTCAAACTTGTAAAACATTTGAAGAGAATTATTTTGAGCCAAATATGAGTGGTCAGTGGCCTGTGATGCAGCCTCAGGAAAATCGGAGAACATGTGCCCAAGGTGATCAGGCTACAGCTTGTTTTATTTATATATATATTTATTTATTTATTTATAATTTTAATTTTTTTAAATTTTTGTACTTTTTTATTGCAATTTAGGTTTTGGGGTACATGTGAAGAACATGCAAGATAGTTGCATAGGTACACACATGGCAGTGTGATTTGCTGCCTTCCTCCCCTTCACCTATATCTGGAATTTCTCCCCATGCTATCTCTCCCCAACTCCCCGCCCCCCACTGTCCCTCCCCCATTTCCCCCCAACAGACTCCAGTGTGTAGTGCTCCCCTCCCTGTGTCCATGTGTTCTCATTGTTCAACACCCACCTATTTGTGAGAACATGCGGTGTTTGATTTTCTGCTCTTGTGTCAGTTTGCTGAGAATGATGGTTTCCAGGCTCATCCATGTCCCTACAAAGGACACGAACTCATCGTTTTTGATGGCTGCATAATATTGCATGGTGTACATGTGCCACATTTTCCCTGACCAGTCTATCATCGATGGGCATTTGGGTTGGTTCCAGGTCTTTGCTATTGTAAACAGTGCTGCAATGAACATTCATGTGCATGTTTTCTTAAAGTAGAATGATTTATAATCCTTTGGATATATACCCAGTAATGGGATTGCTGGGTCAAATGGAATTTCTATTTCTAGGTCCCTGAGGAATTGCCACACTGTCTTCCACAATGGTTGAACTAATTTACACTCCCACCAACAGTGTAAAAGTGTTCCTTTTTCTTCACATTCTCTCCAGCATCCGTTGCCTCCAGATTTTTTAATGATCACCATTTGAACTGGCGTGACATGGTATCTCAATGTAGTTTTGATTTGCATTTCTCTAATGACCAGTGATGATGAGCATTTTTTGATGTTTGTTGGCCTCACATATGTCTTCTTTTATAAAGTGTCTGTTCATATCCTTTTCCCACTTTTGAATGGGCTTGTTTGTTTTTTTTCTTGTAAATCTGTTTTAGTTCTTTGTAAATTCTGAATATAAGCCCTTTGTCGCATGGGTAGACTGCAAAATTTTTTCCCATTCTGTTGATTGCCAATTCACTCTAATGACTGTTTCTTTTGCCGTGCAGAAGCTGTAGAGTTTGATTAGGTCCCATTTATCTATTTTGGCTTTTGTTGCCAATGCTTTTGTTGTTTTGGTCATGAAGTCCTTGCCTACACATATGTCCTGAATAGTTTTGCCTAGAGTTTTTTCTAGGGTTCTTATGGTGTTAGGTCTTATGTTTAAGTCTTTAATCCATCTGGAGTTAATTTTAGTGTAAGGTGTCAGGAAGGAATCCAGTTTCTGCTTTCTGCACATGGCTAGCCAGTTTTCCCAACACCATTTATTAAACAGGAAACCCTCTCCCCATTGCTTATTTTTGTCAGGTTTGTCAAAGATCGGATGGTTGTAGATATGTTGTGCTGCCTCTGAGGCCTCTGTTCTGTTCCATTGATCTATATCTCTGTTTTGGTACCAGTACCATGCTGTTTTGATTACTGTAGCCTTGTAGCATAATTTGAAGTCAGCTAGTGTGATGCCTCCCGCTTTGTTCTTTTTGCTTAGAATTGACTTGGCTTTGTGGGCTCTCTTTTGGTTCCATATGAAATTTAAGGTGTTTTTTTCCAGTTCTGCGAAGAAGGTCATTGGTAGCTTGATGGGAATAGCGTTGAATCTGTAAATTGCTTTGGGCAGTATGGCCATTTTCATAATATTGATTCTTCCTAACCATGAACGTGGAATGTTTCTCCATCTGTTTGTGTCCTCTCTTATTTCGTTGAGCAGTGCTTTGTAGTTCTCCTTGAAGAGGTCCTTTACATTCCCTGTTAGTTGTATTCCTAGGTATTTTATTCTCTTTGTAGCAATCGTGAATGGCAGTTCATTCTTGATTTGGCTCTCTTTAAGTCTGTGATTGGTATATAGAAATGCTTGTGATTTTTGCACATTGATTTTGTATCCTGAGACTTTGCTGAAGTTGCTTATTAGTTTAAGGAGATTTTGGGCTGAGATGATGGGGTCTTGTAAATATACAGTCAAGTCATCTGCAAATAGAGACAATTTGACTTCCTCCTTTCCTATTTGAATATCCTTTATTTCTTTTTCTTGCCTGATTGCTCTGGTAAGAACTTCCAATACTATATTGAATAGTAGTGGTGAAAGAGGGAATCCTTGTCTAGTGCCAGATTTCAAACGGAATGCTTCCAGTTTTTGCCCATTCAGTATGATACTGGCTGTTGGTTTGTCCTAAATAGCTTTTATTATTTTGAGATACGTTCCATCAATACCTAGTTTATTGATGGTTTTTAGCATAAAGGGCTGCTGAATTTTGTCAAAAGCCTTCTCTGCATCAATTGAGATAATCAAGTGGTTTTTGTCTTTGGTTCTGTTTATGTGGTGAATTACGTTCATAGACTTGAATATGTGGAACCAGCCTTGCAGCCCTGGGATGAAGCCTACTTGATCATGGTGGATAAGCTTTTTGATGTGCTGTTGCAAACGGTTTGCCAGTATTTTATTGAAGATTTTTGCATCTGTGTTCATCGTGGATATTGGCCTGACGTTT